ACAGGTAGATGTATTTCTCCTAGTGAATAACTGACAATGCATTAACCATAAAAAACACAAACAGCATATTAAGTGCATACGGACGCAGGTAGCGCACGAGTTTTATTTTAAACCATCGTCATCATTGTCATCGCAAGGACAGTGAAAGGAACGACCCGAGCGTGGGGGGGGGGGGGGGGGGGGGCCCTTATAATAAATCAGTATTAATAACCCCTTTATCATAAACCTCCCATAAATAAGGTACCGTGGGCTCTCATCATGCTACGGAGATTTCCATGTTCTGTCTTAAGGTTGTTAAACTCAAAACCATGTTGTAACACCAACATAAATTATTTTATGAAACTATATGAGCTATACATGGTAAAATAAAGGCCCTTTAAGAGCTTTAATTCAACCTTCTCCCTTTTTTTCATCATAGCTGAGATTTTTTTACTACTTATAATTGTATCAATTAAAATGTTAATCAGAAAAATCATAAAGTTCAAAACAAGGTGGACAGGCACAAGGTCTCATTATAATTTATCTCTTAAAGATTACCAGCTGCAAACATGAACAGCAAAAATTGTACTTGTAATATTATATAAAGCTACTTATACATTCTAAGTCGCAAATAAGTGAATTTTACGATGGATGCTTCAAGAGAAAGACCACAAGACCCACTGATTGAATTAATAATATGACGATTTAAAAGTATTATTAACAAACCATTGTTCACTACTGCGGTCCATTACATATTCCTCCTTATCTTACTTAAAATAATATATTTATATGAAATTGTCTTATGACAAATAATTACAAGTCATATTATTTCAATTAAAGGTAAAAAAGCAACGTCTCATAAGGAAATTTAAGATAACGCACCATAATTTAAAACTCCTTTAAATTAGATGAACACTGTTGTTATATGTACCTGTACAATGACCTTTTCCTTTATGTAACCCTTTCTCTTTTGCATAACCCTGCATGGGGAGCTATAAAAGCAACATATGCCATTTATTTTGTAACCATTTATTCGCCCGATGTCTGTACAATTTACAAAAGAATAGAGTACAAATAGATTAGCTAGTGAACAGATAAGCAACAGGGGCAATGTCATCATTATTCATAACAATGGCCTCAAATACGTGATTTATACAAAGCCAGTCGCCGGGCTGTAAGCATCAGGTGTAATTACTTCATTATTCTTTACACTGGCTCCAAATGCTATAAATGATGGTGTGGCCTTAAGGACAGTAGTAGTAAATCGACCGAAATAGAAACAATGCCCTGTTCCTTTTTGTTTTTATGAAGATAAAAATAAAACATACCTCACAAAAGGCCAATTTAAGACAAATATTAAGTGCAGTGTCCAATGGATGACACTGTAGCGGCATTTTTGTGGAAAAATACTGTTATTGGTTTTGGTATTTTCTCCATAACCTAGACACCTATTCAAGTGATTCAAACGACATCATAAAGCTAGGTACAAGCACTACAAACGGATACCAGGGAATTGTCTTAAACTATATCCTTTTGACTTTATCGTCTTTTACGTTAAATTGTCCCATATTTCAATGGGTTATTCATTTCAATAGACGATAACTTTCAAACAAACAATTTCCTCCAAAATCCCTGATATCCATCTGTGGTCCACATCCCCAGCAACAATGAGTGCAATTTTCGTAACAATCGGTTGCTGAGATAGTGAGATAGACCTGAAAATGATTCAATTATATCGTCAATCTGGAAAGCTGTTAAAACAGCCGAAAACTTTCACAGGCTGGTTAACAGTGCTAAGCTAAGAAATTCGCCTGTTATCGGTTATACAATCAGATGGAACCCTTGCTCATTGACATCTAAAAAATTTTTGCTTGGCTGCTTTGAAATGCCAGAAAGTCGTGTTTTTGTAACATTCTCCGATCACTCGTCAGATTTGTAAACGTGCCGCCATTTTGATTGACAGCTCTGGACATGTCCCTAGCCTAGTGATGCCGAGTAGGGAGTCAAGGATATGTACTAGGAAGCGCTAACAAACACGATTACGTTTAACTGCAGTTAAGAGGTGTGAAGTTGCATGTAAACGTTTCTTTGGGCCTTCCTCGGCAATCGAACAATTTTACCTGGGAGCTTCCTTCTCTGTTATCGGCAAAGTGTTCAGCTGAAAGTGTTTGTCGAGAGCAAGTGGTCGTCACTCGTGTAAATACGAGTTTTTGACAGGTTACGCTGCAAGATTGTTTCACGGCACTTGGTAGATGTATACGAGAGATATAATGCAAGTAACAGATTTGCAAATTAGGCATTCTTTATTTTTACACACATCTCACTAATATACATTTTACCTTGTTAGTCTTGACCATGATCGTGGTCTTTTTGTGAGTTCCATCTTTTGCTTACATTTTGAACTCTTTTTTTCCTTGGTAGATGTATATGAGAGATAAAATGCAAGTAACAGATTTGCAAATTAGGCATATTTTATTTTTACACACATCTCACTAATATACATTTTACCTTGTTAGTCTTGACCATGATCGTGCTCTATTTGTGAAGTCCATCTTTTGCCTACATTTTGAACTCTTTTTTCCCGTTTGATATGTGATTTTGACATTAAAATTTCTCCAAACATAGCAAAATGCAGTCCCACTACAACCCTCGCTTGAATTTCTCTCGTTTAGCCATTCCCATCACAATTTTTTCGCATGTCTCTCAAGCTCCTTAATACATTCATATCTCGGAGAATATAAACTTCATTTTGTCAACATCGGAATTTTTGTCAATAGATTTTATGTTGTTTTAAAGCTGATGTAACACGTTTTGAAACGGCGTCGAACAATCATTGCTGGTTTCGTAAGGTGTCGCAGATACGCACGCCGAATTATAGCCTATCGCCAAAATAAGACCTATAAGTATTGTTTCCGGTGTCTTTTTTTTTCTTTTCGCTATTGATGTTTTTCACAAACGAACTTTTCTCTTCCCCATAGCGTACTCGACTTCTTTATTGCTCAGCTGATGTAAGACTTATGACCTGTTACCGCACATGTAATTGGCTTGTTAGTCATTAACTTTGCTCTGCCCCTCAAGGCAACGGCCTGTAATTAGCAACAGAGGCGTGAGTCGTGCTGGTTGAAAAACTCATCAAAAGACACATTTTGCGGTGCGAACTCCAAAACATTATTACATTCAATGCTAGATACTTTTTTTGATTAATACGAATTCACAAAAATCTCAAAACATGGTTTTAAGGCGATTTTTACCCCACTACCCCCCTTAAACATGAATTTAATTCAGTTTTCCAAAGACATCTAGGGCAACTTGTACTCGTAGTAGACTCTACCTCTATTTACAGATTGTAGAATAACAGATCCTGTTCGTGGGTTTCCTGTGCCCTCTACCAGGGCTTCGCGGAAAAAACGTACGCGGCCATGACAGTATCCGACTTCTAGAATAAATATTCAAAACCAACAGAAATTGCTCTCGTTAAGGTGCGTCCTAGAAACGAATGCTCATGACAGATAAGTGCATTCCGCAAAATACACAAGCCTTTTTCAGCCACAACCTAGTTATCTATTCAAATGAATTTCAAACGGATGTGGATATGTGCCAAGAATAATATTACTAATGGCGATGTAAGATGAGATGACGGAATTCATAATCATCACACCCCGTGAATCAAAGGGAGGATTTCGTTTAACATTAATTTGTGGCTTAAATTCACCCTTCTTTTGAAAATGGCACGATCGCTGGCCACTTAGTCATGTGACTTCCATCCATTGTTCAGATTTGTCCGTTGACGATAAATACACTGACACAAGCTATTTTAGCTGCCAAATATAGAGATAGACTTGGCTCCCATACCTAGATCGATCTAACAGGATCGATGCATCTCCAAGGGAGATGCTTTCAGCTTAAGCGACTTAGATGTCTGCTGCACGCATACTGAAGCTGCCAAAATAAAGCAAACTTGCGGGGCAGAGCCCTAACTAAGAGGTGTTTTTTTGCCCACTGTCGATAACTGTATAATGAAAATAACAATGTTGAATTTTATATATCATCAAAGACCATTTCAATGTAATTCCAAAATATTATAATTTAATTTCAGTGCGAGAGGAGCTAGTGTCTTCGCATGGTGTATTCTATGGGCTTAAATGAATATTCATGACAGGCGGGGGGTAATGGCGCATAAGTGCCTCTTATTCATCATGGGAAGAATACAGGCAACAAGCAAACAAATGAAGTGCAGGGAACCTACCCTCCACCAGGGTGACAGATATTATAGGAAAAAATGTCCAAACCCAAAGAACCAAATCATCGTCTATTTATCTCAAGACATATCTGTGAAGTGCAGCATTCATATTGCTATTAATAGCGTCTTATTAGAATCGCCAAGACCCTCTTCCGTGAGAAATTAAAATATTTTCTAATGGGCTTTCTTATGAATTCATTGCGACAGCGTCGTCAACTTGTAGCTAACGGACCCTTTTCTTCTCCCTCACTGCATTTCTCACTGAGAGAGAGAGCATGCCTTGGCCTCATTCAGAACAGGGGGCTTATAGATCCGCGGGTCAAATATGGCCGACCCACTTGAATGCTTGCTCCGTAATCCTCTCAGCAAATCTTTTTACTCTCTAGTTTTGAAATAAACGGCAAGGGTTTTTAGTGGGTCGCCATATTTGATCCGCTGATCTGTTAGACTACTGTTCTGAATGCGCTCCTTTACTCTCAGACTGGGTTCCCATCCCTAGATCGATCTTACAGGATTGGCCGATCTCCATTGGTTCCTGGCTAAATTGCTTTCAGCCCAAGCGGCTTAGACGTCAGGGGCATCCACTTAAGTTCTTAAACGATAGTTAATTGCCTGCCCATTATCAGCCTCAGAAGGCGTGACAGACATCTGACCGAAAAAGTAAATTGCAATTAAGCGAGAATCCTCTCGGAGATAGTTCGATCTGAAGTACGATAAGGCCTTAGAATGGTCTCTCAGGGTATGATCCCTCAGCTTTGGAATAAATAACAACACAGTTACTGGTAGACACCACTCGTTTTGACGTGGAGACCGTGATTGGACAGACGACGAGCAGGATGCGCTTTCTTGCAGTTTTGGTTCTTGTGACTTGTCTAATGTCATTGGCGGCAGCTATATGTACATGTACATATAAAGCTAATGAAGTGACCTGTTTGGTGTGCAATAATGCGGAACTAAGTAAGACTTTCTTTATTGATTTTGTTGCCTTACGTTGAATATATTTTAGTTTCACTTGAAATATGAAATATTTCATACACATATAGCTGTTCTACAAGTGTCCGGCTTATCAGAAGCGAAAAATTAAGCAAAAAGTAAAAAGGTTTAAAATGAAAATTATTGTCGGTTTCGAGTCACTTAGTTTTTTTTTTCTCTGGGGCGGTTATTTAGCACAGGTGATCTCAAACAACTTTACAGAAACGTTTACAAATGTTTACAGAGGTAATACGAAGACCTCCGTGCTATAACTTCATAAGTCCGTGTGACGAGAGGTTCTTCCCTTGTACTACGGGATACCAGTGCATGTAAGTGTAACTATTTATTACTGACTTAGTCAATTATTACTAATTGAGCAATTTTTCTGAGTTAACAATTTATTACTAACTTAGCCATCTATCACTGACTTAGTCAATAATAATTAACTTGGCCATATTTTTCCAGTGTTGGATGCAACTGCACTGCGATCTGCATTAAAGACAATGAATGCTTCTAATGCAGCAAGAGACAGATGGATTGAACGACGATGGTCTCTGTCTCCTTTTGATACGCAATCTTTAAATGAAGTCTTTTTAGGCTTATTGTGGTTCCCACTCATCTACTTCTCATCTACATCTACTGAGACAATTAATCCCCGAGATGGGCGAAACACGTACAGGTCGCTTTCTGTTTTCTTACATGATAACGAATTTTAAAAACGAGACACATTTGAAGAGTTTGCTGCTATGTACTAGTAGACTTAGACTTTTTCATTAATATTGCTTACACTGCATATCGCACAATCCAGCAGTGCAACAAACATGGCAGTCAGATAATTATTAGCGACACACCTGATTGCACTCTTCTTTTTTAAGAACTCAACTTTACCTAGGCATACCTTTGAAACTGAAATAATCCACATTAAATGTCACGTCTGTCCATGTATGGCTGTTCTAGCAATTGTAGGATACATGTAAGTGTTCCGATTAAATTACACTTGAAATGTTAGCATCAATCTACAATCACACCTCGGTTTATACTAGATTCAGTTTGGTTTGCTCATTTACCAATAATGAAACAACTTCTGCGAGGAGGCATTCAAAGATAAAACAAAAACGTATATTAGTGAAGTGGTATTGTCAAGTTCATAACTTCCAGAAAGCAGGGATGAATTCTAAACGTCATTATATATATATTAACAATTAACCGGTACATGTTGGTTAAGGACCTTTTTTTCTGAATTTCTGATATTGAACATAGCATATGCAAGTTTGACATGTATGTTTTAATAATATCTCAAAAATGTACATTCGTTTATTGCTATATCATCTTGAGTGGAATAACAGTTTTTTATTTCTTTAAAAACACAACGTGCCTTCAAAGCACACTCCAGGTTAAAGGTTTTATTTATTTTGGATTATAAACAAAAAACAAAAAATGAATAAGAAAACAGTATACAGCAAGTATGGAAATTTGCAATTTTCTCTGAACTGTTGGCATAAGCACTATCTACAGGTAGAAATCCGTTTTCAAGTTTCAACTTCGCAGTAAAAATGTTACGAATAAAAGCCACCTGTTTCCATTCCCGCCCCCATTTTTTAAAAATAGAAACAAACTCTAAAACGGGTTTTGATCATTTATCCTTTTTCAGCTGTTGTAGATGTTTTCCTTAGCTGATGAAGGGCATAATTACTAACATTTTCAGGAAAAATGTTGATTTTTGCTATACAGTGACGTGTAGTTCACTTCATGTCTTTGCTGAATGGAATGGAAATGTCTCGATGCTGTGGGTAGAACTAAAGGTGTATGTGGGGGGGGGGGGGGCCGTAAAGGAAACAGGTTTGGTACAGTGGGTGTTTCCATGTCATTTTTAAGAGTGGAAGAAGAAGACATTTGCAATTTCATTTTTTAAAAGGTCGGAAAGGGTGATGAACAAGGGCTTGCTGCCTCTGTGAATCTACTTTTTTTTTATATTAAAGGCGCTTAGGAAGCTAATTTTAAGTCTGGGGAAGTGGGGCTATTGCCAAAATCGACTGCATCTACAGTATGCATATTTAAGATAGATACGTTATACAACGTAGTGCGCAAGAAGTACCAAGTTTTCTCACACACTGCATGACACGCCACACGCGTCGACCCTGCAGGGGCACAGTTATTAAACCTCGGCTCATTAAAGGGTACCGGCGGAGACGGATTGTGACGGAAGTGACGTGTAGTGGTGTAAGACGTGAAGCTGAGTGGTCGTTTTTAGCTGGCAGTAAATGGGAATGAAGACGTGGGCTTAGAGAAAAAAGCAGTTATTTTAACAACACGGTAGGATAACATTTTTCTTTATGCATTTGGGGCAGAAAATACTTGTAGAAATAATAGGCGCATGATATGAAAACGTGACACGGAACTTAAAGGTGAAAAATCGTGCTTAATTTGCAGTCAATTTGTTTAGAGATATATGCGGCATCGACCGCCAGCGCGACAAAGAGTGTCAATGGAAGAGAATTCCCGGTGTAGCGTGCCGTAGAGTCCGGCCCTTTCAGAGTCCGTAGGACCCTATGTTTTAAAACTGAGTGTCCGGCATACACTCAGTTTTAAAACGTAGGGTCCACGGATACTAAGTTTTAAATCTGAAAGTCCGGGTGACTTCCTATATTAAAACGTGCAGTCCCCAGACTTTCAGTTTTAAAATGAACAGTCCGCTTTGAATCGCAAAGGTCCCCCTTACTGTTGCATTTTAGGCAAAAGAAAATCAAGTTTAATTCGTACCCATAAGGCAATATTCCTTATTTTTTGCAATATGTATGCTTTATACATTTCATTAAAGAAATAGTTCTATTGATGCAATGTAATTGTAACTAATTATCAATAAAAAGTTAAAATTTATTGAATTAAAATAAGACAAGAATACAGAAAATCTGTTTTAACTGGGTGTTTTTTGTTTACAATCTTCTTTGTTGTAGTCTAGATGACTGGTGCAAAAATTGCTCAAAAGGTGGAAAAAGCATGAAACTTGGCACAAATGTTCTTTGGACTATGCTGATCATTTTCAAGGGCAGTGCCTAAAATTTCAAAGCGTTGCTTAGCAACCGTTGCTAAGGAAGTGATTTACATTAGTAACAAGCTAATTGGACCTTTCTTGTTCAGTTTAAATGATTTAAACAGGCTTTTAATAATGTTTCAAACCATCAGAACTATCACTATACTATTTTAAGACATTAAAAACCCAAGTAAACCATTGCAACAGTTGCTAGACAGCATATTACCCTAGCAACAAGTATTTAACATGCTCAATTAGCCCAGAAAGTTAGTGTTAAAGTTGATTTTTTGTTGAGTTCCTCTAGACAGAGGGGATTTCAAATGCCATTTATAATATCATTGATGTGAAAAAAACAAAAACATTTTTACACCATCTTTTATGGAAAATAGTTTTTTTAATTTCTTTCAATTTTTGAGTTTTGAGTTTTGAGATTTCATCTGGGGTTAAATTGAAATTTTCCTGAATTTCACTCAAAGAACCAATAATGTTTGCCAAAAGGGATAAGAAGTTGCTTTTAGTATTTTTAATCCACCTTTTGTTACTACCGACTCCTGACATTTCGCCGAGAAAAACGCTCTCCACTTACTCTTATTTTCTTCATAAAGAAGTCTTTTAAGCCATGTAAAGTTTAGGGCCTTGGTAAAATTTTTATTTGCGGTACCTTTTACCGTCCATTTTTGTAATCAGACACCATCCTTGCTCATTTTATTTTATATCTTTTTCCATTCCTGATAAAGTTAAATATGATATGCATATTTTAAGTATTGAGGGAGGGGGGGGGGTGGTAGGAGAGTTTATACATGCCCTACTTAAGATGAGAAATACTAAAGGTTTAACCACTTTTGACTTTCCTATTATTGAAAGGTTTCTCAGAGACCAGATTTTCAAGATATTTTTCATTTTGTTCAATATTTTCTAAAAAGTTTTTTCACATTGTATTTGGTCAGTTTCTATTCTCTACCAAGTAACTTAAATACACCTGCATGGTTCTATTTTAATTATATTTGTTAATCAATGAAGTTCAAAAGCTTCTGTTCACACCCAAAGGCCGTTAGATGCCATATCTTACTTCAACCAAGGCTGCTCTACAACAATATAAGAGTATTCGTGCGAGATGAACATATCTGAATCAGCACTACGGTGCCATGTCATCAGATACCATGTGCTAACTCTGGTTGGCCTTGTGCGGAACAGTGGGCCTAAGTGGACACATTTGCCAGAAGCTATTGACCTGTCCAGAGTTGCTCCAGTGTGCATGTAGGTGCAGATGTAGAGGCTGACAATGTGCAAGGGCAAAATGCACTGTATATTGCACATACAAGGGAGAATTAACTATTATTATTATTATTATTAACTATTGCAAAGTTTTGTAAAGAGTCGTAAGGTGACAAAAGCATGGAAATGGCTGGTTACTAATTTTGAACATGCTGCCTTAAAGATGCATACAAAGTCAATTTTTTGTCACAAAAACCAACCAAATGCCAGCATATAGTTACAAGTAGTATAACTAAGAGAATTACTAAAAGGCATTGTTTAATTTTACCCGAAAATGATGTTTGGACAGATTTTTCTGCTGGCATTCTAAGCTGTATGTCAATGGGACAGGAAAGTAGGTCACGGAAGTAGGTTAAATTTACAACCATAAATTTAAAGAAAGGAGCAGTCTAAAGGTCTTTTATGGCTGATCGAGTGATCTATTCAGTTTATCCCTTGGCATGTCAAATTTATTTGAGTCATATAAGAATCTAGTAGAAGTGGTTTACATGTGTTACTGGGAATCCACGCTCCACCGATGCTCGGTTCGTATGTACCTTTAAGTATCTGCACTGGCAATTTATTTGATCTGATGTGTGTAAACACACAATTGGTTCAACTTACTGGATTAAAAGTATGAACATCTTGCTCAAAAGTGTAGATCTTAGCTAGTATTATAGATTTGCTTTACTGCTTTACTCTATAGACTAATGCAACTTTAAATGCTTGTTGCTAGGGTAATATGCTGCCTAGCAATCGTGGCTAAGGTTAATTTGGGTTTTAATTGCCTTAAAATAGTCTAGTGATAGTTCTGATGCCCTGAAACATAGTTATTAGCATTTCTAAACCATTTAAACTGGACAAGAAAGGTCTAATTAGCTTGTTACTAAGGAAATTCACTTCCATAGCAACGGTTGCTAAGCAACGCTTTGAAATTTTGGGCACTGCCCTTGAAAATGATCAGCATAGACCAAAGAACATTTGTGCCAAGTTTCTTGCTTTTTCCACATTTTGAGCAATTTGGCCAAAATATAGCACCAGTCATCCAGACTATTGTACAAAATACTCAATTATGTAATTCTTTAATATTTAACTGGTTTCAGCTTCGCCTTCAGCTCTGAAATACAGAAAAGTACACGTGCTGTAAATGCTGACCAAATTGATCATGAAAACGCAATGACAATAAATATAAAGTTGATGTTTCAATAGCTAACATTGTTTTTATAGAATAGATAAAAGATGCCATTTACATTTTAGAATAAAAAAAACGCCTATTTTCTCTGTATTGCTTTAGCTGACCAGCACCCACAGCCAAGGGAAAAATTTTAAGAGACTTTTTCCCTACTAAATTTTCCATAATATACGTGCCGTTTGGCTTCTTCGCCACTTTTGTGCATGGCCCCATGTACCTTGGGGCAGCTTTGCCTCCCTTTCTATCTTCCCTTCTAAGGTTTTTCTTTAACACTTTTATTCAAATCTGAAAGTCCTTAGTGAAAGATATGAAAAATGGTATGTATTATCGATGGTTTAAACTAATCTATGCCACACACCAGTAACAATACGTACTATAAAGGAAATTACACAATATCAATGCATTTGATAAAGATAAAGATTTTCTGTGAAAATAATAAAATACTTAAGTTTTAGTCCTAAGTGTATCATTAGCAAGAAATTAATTCATACCTCACTCTGGTGTCTCAAGTCGTAGTATATATACCTTTTTTTCGCTTTTCTTGGACAGTACGGATACAACACTGTACAGATGTACTTGTTTGCATTGTACGATTTCTCCATTGCCACAAGGTCAATTCCAATCTGCAATAGATATCTGATAAAAACATAAACATAAAGTAATATCTGTGTTAAAGGAAAAAGGCATTGCTGGTGTGTTAAATTTTGGCCTGTCATATAAAATAATTGATTGATAACCATTTCATAATCTTTATTAAGCTTTTTTTTCTATATTTTTCATGTGTAATTATTAAAAAGGGGTAACTACCTGGCTCCATGGCTTACAAAAAGACACTGGTACTGGGTGGAGAGGAGGTGTGGTGTTCTTAGCTTTTGGATTTTGCATTTGCCATCTATGGCACCTAGCTATGTA